TTGGTAAATTGAACTTCCGTAACACCAAAAAGAGAATGCAAAACTGAAAACAAAAAAATTAAATGGTTACTTAGGTTAATGCCTGGCATGCATCTGTGAAAGAAAAAAAAAAGAAGAGCAATAGTACAGCAGGTCCGGTGTTTGTAACCAGACCCCTGGCATTCCCTAGGGTCCCCCAAACACAGCCAGGAGTGATTCTTGAGTGCAGGGCCAGGAGTGACCCCTGAGCATTGCTGGGTGCGGCCCCCAGACAAAAACAAACAAAAGACACTAATAAGGAGCCATTTAATTTTTTTCCTTTTATGCTTTGTTTGTTTTTGGGGGCGGGCACCTCAAAGTGCTCAGGGCTTACTCCCAGCTCTGTACTCAGGGATCACTTCTGGTGGTACCTAGGGGGCCATATATGGTGTGGGGAGTGGGGGCTGGACCCCAGGTTGGTTGTGTGCAAGGCAAGAGCCATGATCGCCAGGCTCGCTTGGGCCCAGTTTGTGTTTTCCCAGGAAATTTGGCCTTGGAGCCACTGATGGGGTGTGGACGGCCTCCCTGTGGTGCTCTCAGCGTTTCCAGCAGTGACTTTTTCCCACGCCTTGATTCTGCCTTCTCGGTCTTTCAGGAATTTATAGTGAGGATTAAGCAACACAGAATGTGGCCCAAGGGTGGCAGATTATAACCTCCGCCTTGAAGGGTTCTCTCCTCCCAGGAAACGCTGTTTGCTTTTTTTTTTTAATTAAAAACAAATGTAAGTAACATCTTTTTTTTTTTTTAAATTAGAAAGCATAAGTAAACATAAAGGAGAAAGTAAAAAAATCACTCCTCCACCTGAGATAATTAGTATCAACTTCATGATCATTTTTTTAAATACATACAAATATATGAACCAATTATTTTTGTTAGGAGGCACCCGGCACAGTGCTCAGGGTATACTCCTGGCTTGGTGCTCAGGGATCAGTCCTGGCAGGCTTGGTGGACCACATCGGGTACTGGGAATCCAGTCTGGGTTTGCTGTCTGCAAGGCAAACAGCCTACTCACTATATTCTCTCTGCGAAGCTCTTTTGATTTTTTTTTATTTGTTTAACTGAATCACAGTGATATACACAGATCCAAAGCTGTTCGGATTTCAGTTCTATCATGTTCCAACCCCGACCCTTCACCAGTGTACTCTTCCCATCACCAATGTCCCAGTTTCCCTCCCCGTACCCCCTACCAACTGTCCCCCCCGCTCCGGCCTGCTACTATGGCAGGCACTTTTCTTCTCTGTCTTTTGGACCTTATGGTTTGCAATACAGATACTGAAAGGTCATCAGGTATATCTCTTTCTCTACTTTCAATACTCAGTTCCTGTCCAAAATGATCATTTCCAACTGCCATTGTCAACTTGGTCCCTTTTCTATCCTAACCTTCCTCCACCCTGCCACCCCTGACACACACTTTTTTTTTTCCCTTTTTGGGTCACACCCAGCGATGCTCAGGGGTTATTCCTCTCTCTGCACTCAGGAATCACTCCTGGCGGTGCTTGGGGGACTATATGGGATGCCAGGGATCGAACCCCGGTCGGCTGCATGCAAGGCAAACGCCTTACCCACTGTGCTATCGCTCCAGCCCTCTGACACACACTCTTATGGCAAGCTTTTACAACCATTGAGCGGTCCTCCTGGCCCGTTTATCCTGCCTTGGATATCAGTCTTATGCTATAAATATATTTATATCCCACATGTGAATGCAATTATTCTAAACCTGTCCCTCTCCTTCTGACTCATTTCACTCAGCATGATACTCTCCATGTCCATCCATTTATAAGCAAATTTCACGACTTTATTCTTCCTAACAGCTCGAGATTTTTTTTTTAAAGTTATTTTCCACCCAGCAACATATCACAGACAAATTTCTGTCAAACACTGACTCTGCACCAGGAACTTGTCTGTGCCCCTTTCTTTGGGTGACAACGGACACTGAGTCCTTGCTGAACAAGCTAACGGGTTCTTGGAAAGTTCACTTTATAAAAGTTTAAAGTGTTTAAAGCTGGGGCCGAAGTTATAGTCCAGCGGGGAGGGCATTTGCCTTGCATGTGGCCCACCCAGGTTCAATCCCCAGCCTCCCATATGGTCCCCCAAGCAATGCCAGGAGTAATTCTTGAGTGCAAAGCCAGAAGGAACCCCTGAGCATCGCTAGGTGTGACCCAGAAAAGCCTAAATAAAGGAAATGGCAATGGCCTGTAAAATATAGAATAAAAGCAGATCCTAAAAATAGTTATTTTTAATTCAAGGTTAGCCAGAATTTTTATTTATTTATTATTATTAAAAGGTAAAGGTAAATATTATTATTATTATTATTTATATTATTATTATTATTTTTGCTTTTTGGGTCACACCCAGCAATGCACAGGGGTTACTCCTGGCTCTGCGGTAAGGAATTACCCCTGGCAGTGCTCAGGGGACCATACAGGATGCTGGGAATCGAATCCGGGTTGGCCGCGTGCAAGGCAAACACCCTACCCGCTGTGCTATTGCTCCAGCCCCCAGAATTTTTATTTTTTATTGAATTAAGTGATATAAGGAAATTTGAGACAAGGAAACAGCTATATGGAAGGGCCTGCTATATTCAAGGAATTCCGTCGTTTCATGCTAATCTTCTTCCATGTGTATGTATATCCTTTGGATAAAATTCTAAACATAGAATTGGGGGCCATGGAACCAGAGTGATAGCACAGCGGGTAGGGCATTTGCCTTGCACGTGGCTGACCCAGGTTCAATCTCCAGCATCCCATATGGTCCCCTGAGCACCACCAGGAGTAATTCTGAATGTAGAGCCAGGAGTAACCACTGAGCATCACCAGATGTAATCCAAAGAGAGAGAGAGAGAAAAAGAATCTGGGGCCAAAGTGATAGCACAGCAGGTAGGGCATCTGCCTTGCATTCAGCAGGCCAGGGCTTGATCCCTAGCATCCCATATGGTCCCCCAAACCCACCAGGAATGATTCCTGAGTGCAGATTTAGGACCAACCCCTGAGCACAGCTGGGTGTGGCCCAAAAAACAAAAATAAAATAAAAGTCAAATTTCCTGTCAAATATTTTGGGCCATTTGTAGTAAAAACCAAGGAGAGGGGCTGGAGCAATAGCACAGCGGGTAGGGCGATTGCCTTGCACGGCCAACCCGGGTTCGATTCCCAGCATCCCATATGGTCCCCTGAGCACCGCCAGGGGTAATTCCTGAGTGCAGAGCCAGGAGTAACCCCTGTGCATCGCCGGGTGTGACCCAAAGAGGAAAAAAAACAAAAACAAAACAAAACAAACCCAAGGAGAAAAGTTCTCAGGTAAAGGCAGGCCAACTCTGGTAAGGCAGATGCTTTGCTTGGGTTGAATGCCTGGCAGGCAATGGTCCCTAAGCACTGCCGGGTGTGCCCCAAAACAAACAAAAATAGGACAGTAATTCAAAAGCTGGACTTCCTGGGGCCAGAGAGATATAGTACAGCCAGTAAAGCATTTGTCTTGCACATGACCAACCTGGGTTCTATCCTCAGTACTCCAAATGGTTGCCTGAACCCCACTGACCGTGCTCCCGCCGGAGTGCAGAGCCAGGAGTAAGTCCTGATCACCACTGGGCGTGGGGGGGGGTTGGACTTTTGGACAATTACAGCTCTCTGGGAAGGTTGGTTTGGGCAAGGTGGGGAGACTCCCAAGGCAGGCAGCTCCTTATCTGGCCGGCCCCTCCCTGACACAGCAAGAAAAGAGGGGCCAGCTTGCTTCCCAGGCCTTTGGCCCTTTTGCTCTCCTGAGGCTCCTGAGGGACTGCCCGAGCAGGGAGTTCAGTCCTCACCCAACTCAGGGACAAAACTGGTTCCAGAGCAGAGCTCAGACCAAGGAGGCTAAGAGGCCTGGCAGCAGAACCCCCGCCCTCCCGAGGCCTTCCCACCCTGCCTCCCACAGGGCCCCAACCCTGGCACGCTTTGAAGTCTCGGAACCTGCCTGCTGTGCCAACTGTAAAATCCGACCACATGGAACCACTGTTTCTGCAGGCTGAAAAGTGGTATTTCTAGATACCTCTGTGAGTAGCTTTAGTGTGTGTGTGTGTGTGTGTGTGTGTGTGTGTGTGTGTGTGTGTGCATACGCATGTGCTTTGCCCAGGATCAACCCGGGTGTCATGCATGCAAGGCATGTGCTCTCCGGCTGAGCCACATCCTCTGCCCTTTAGTCATGAAGCTGGAATTGTTTCCCATGTGATGATGTGATGGAGGAGAAACTCTGGTTCACGATTTCCTCTTTTGGAACTTTTTGGGGCTGTGTGCATCCGGGTTTACCCTTCAAACTCACACTCGTCGCGACTGCAGACAGGATTCTGCAGAGGGAGACCCTGGTGCAGGAAGGCCCTAGGCCCGGGCTGAGCACTGCGGAGCGGGTCCCACCGCCCACGTACCTGGCACGAGCGAGGACCTCCTTGAACTTGTTCCCGTCCCACTGGGAAAAAAACCCCGCGGGGTCAGTGACTCGGTGCAAGAAGAGGGGGGCAGAATCCGTGAGGAGCCTCCGCCGCGCTGCTCCGGCCTTTGCGGGGCAACGAGGGGCTTGGCGGGGGTCGCGGCCGCCGCCCCCACCCCCACCCACCACGTGGAGCGCCCGCCGGCCGCAGCCAGGCCGCAGGGCCACTCCCGGGGCGCTGGGCGGGAGCCTTTCGTAGGCCACGACGACACAGGCCGGCGGCACCACCTGGTCACCGCGTCGCGCAGCCCCGCGGGGCGGCCAGGAGGGGCGGGGCGCGGGGGGCGGGGCCTCCTCCCCCTCCCCTTTTATTGTGTCTTTTTTTTTTTTTTGTCCGCCCGGGTCTGCAGGCCGGGCCTGCGCCTTTAAGAGGCCGAGGCGCGCCTCCGATTGGCCGGGCCGCGCGGTGACGTCAGGGCGGGGCGGGCGCTCGGCGGGCGGCTCGCGGCGCGCTGGCCGGGCCGGCGCCCCCTCAGCCTCGCCGGGCCGCGCGCGCGTCGCCCCCCGGGGGCGCGCCCCTCGCGGCCGCCCCATGGCCGCCGACGTGTTCGCCTGCTCCCCGCGCCGGCCGCGCGGCCGCGCCCGGCCCGCGCCCCTGCGGCCGCCGCCGCCCGACGACGACGACTCGGAGCCCGACGAGGCGCCGGGCCGGGCCCCCGCGAGCGACGCGCCGCCGCCGCCGCCGCCGCCGCCGCCGCCGCGCCGCCAGCAGATCATCCACAGCGGCCACTTCATGGTGTCGTCGCCGCACCGCGAGCACCCGCCCAAGAAGGGCTACGACTTCGACACGGTCAACGAGCAGACGTGCCAGACCTACAGCTTCGGCAAGACCAGCTCCTGCCACCTGTCCATCGACGCCTCGCTCACCAAGCTCTTCGAGTGCATGACGCTGGCCTACAGGTGAGGCGGCCGGGGCGCCGGACGCCGCGCGGGCCCCCGCCCCCCGGACCCCCGCGCCGGACCCCCGCGCCGCGCCCCCGCGCCGGACCCCCGCGCCGCGCCCCCGCGCCGCGCCCTCGGCGGGACAGGCGCCCCCGAGCGCGCTCGAGTGCCCCCCGGGCCCTAGGGGACTCCAGAAGCGGCGCGGGGAGGAGGGTCCCGCCCCGCCCCCCGCCCCCCGCCGAGAGCCCAGACCGACGTCGCGGGGTTGTCTGGTGGGAAACTCGAGCCCCCGGGCTGCGCTTCCGGCGCAGGAGTTGAGGGTCGGGCGCCAGGCTGCTGCTTTGTTGCCTCCCGACCCGCGCCCCCCCTTTCTTTTTCGAGGGTCCCCAGAGGGGCGGTGTGCCACCCGCCCGCGTGCATCAGCCGCAGCCCTGCCCAGGCACCCGCGCATCCCGCTCAGGCTCCTCCTGAGCCTGTGAGGATGTTCTGCTTTGTTTAGATGAAAACACACACACACACACACACACACATGCACACATGCACACATGCACAGACATGCACACAGACACAGATACAGACACACAGATACACATGCACAGACGTGCAGACAGACACACACAGAGACACACATACAGACACATGCAGACACAGACACACACACAAACATGCACAGACATGCACACAGACACAGATACAGACACACAGATACACACACAGACATGCAAACACACACATACAGACACATGCAGACACACAGACACACACACAAACATGCACAGACATGCGCACGTAGACACAGATACACACAGAGACACACACAGAGACACAGATACAGACACACACACGCACACAGGCACACACACAGATACACACAGACATGCAAACACACACGCAGGAGATGGTGGCCCTCAGCATCTCCACCCACTTGTTCAGGGTGCTCAAGTAGCTAGTGCCTGCTGTGTTGTGAGCAAGCCCGTGGAGCCACCCGGCTGAGATGAGCAGTCCTCTGGGGCCCGGGGACAAGGGCTGGCGAGGGCTCCCCTAAATCCCACCAAGGAAAAAGGCACCCGCAGCGCCCGCCCCCGTGGGTAAGCTCAAGGCTAGCTGGGAAGTAACACCAAAGAATTTTAACAAAGTCGTTTTCTTTACCTCTTTCAAGTAAACAGATGGTTTTGGGGTCACACCGCAGTGCTCAGGGCTCTTCCTGGTTCACGTGTAGGGGTCCTTCCTGGTGGCATCTGGGGCCCACGTGATACCGGGGTTTGAACCCGGCCGCAGAGCCATCTCCCTGGCTCTCTCCAGACGGCCTCGGCAGCTGGTGGTGCTGAGTTGTCTGCCGCCGAGGACGCCCTGGGCTGGCTCCAAGGTGGCCTGGCTCAGCCCCTGGCTTCACTCTGAACCCCCAGCCTGAGTCAACGCTGCGGCTGCACTCAGCTGCTGCCGGTCGTTTCCGGGGAGAGAGGCGGCTGGGGGGGGACTGGACAGCTGAGTCAGTGAGCAGCATCTCCAGCCAGCCGTATTCGGGACAGTCACCTGTGGCTGTAGAGGAGAGGGAGCTGCTGCCCGGGCCGCCCTATCCTGCCCCGTCGGGCTTTCCGGGAAGAGAGAGGATGTACCGGGGGGGAGGTCCAGCTGGAGCCCCCGCTACTGGGACACCGTATGGGGCGGGGGGGTCTGCCTGGAGGTGGCTGGAGCCCCCACTGGGCGGCGAGGGGAAGGCCAGCAGGCCACCTCCTCTGTGTGACTGTTTCTGGCTTAACTTCCTGTCTGTCCCCCGCCTCTGGTTTTAGCTGCCTAACTCTCCCTGGGACACGCTGTGCCTTTCTTTCCCCTTTCGGGTTCGTTTCCTGTTAGCTGCCTTCCAGCTGTTTCCAGATGGGGTCCACAGCTCTGGGGAGGCACAAAGTGCAGGGCACGCGGCGGTGATTTTTCCCCCAGCCCCGTGGAGCGGTCTGGAGCGGTCTGGGATTCCGAATGCCCTCGATTCCCGAGCCCAAGTCTTGAGCTCCAGGGGGGTCTCTAGCAGGACTGGCTTTGGGGTTGAGCGCTCGGGTGTTTCCGGCCCTGTGTGCTCGGGGCCCGCGGGGTGATGGCAGATGCAGTCCAGCTTCCTCTTTCCTGCCCTCCTAACTTGCGAAACATCTGCTCAGTTTGGGGCACATTTCACAAAGGAAGATGTGTGCTTTCCCCGTGCAGCGTGGGTGCTGGCTGGTGGGGACCGAAGCCCTTTTCCCGAGCCGTTGTGCGGAGGGCACAGAATCACCGTCCTCTGCCGCCTTTCTCGCCTGTCAGCTGGCAGGGCCTGGGACTGGACTTCAGGTGCCTGCCTGACATACTCAGCCATGGTCGGCAGCTTGTCCTCCCCCAGCTCATCAGCGCCCACGTGCTCCAGAGCAGCTCTCGGCCTTTCCCCCACCATCACCCCCTGACTCGTCGGTGGGCCCCCAGTCTCGTGCTCTGACCCCTACTCCAGCACAGTTTCCACCTGCGGCCTCTTGGAATGTTCTGGCGGGAGCACTGGTCTAGAACTCGGCTCCCGCCTCTTGCCACGGCCCGCCGCCTGGCAGGAATGCCCAGCGTCTCCCACGCAGATCTGAGGCGGTTTTGGTTTCACTTCCCCACATTTCCCTCCTTGGGGGGGCTGTGTGGGACCGTCCCCGGGGGCTCGAGGGGGGCTCGCGCTGCACTTCTGGCAGGCGAGCTCTCTCCTCACGTGGGTGTTGAGTTTGGCCTGGGGGTGGCTGTGGCTCTCAGCTTCCCGTTCGACCGGAGGGGGTGCTGGTGGCCTTGGAATTGCGGCATGAACGCTTGACCAGAGAGAGTCTGGAGCAGGACTGGACAGCTCAGGGGTCCGATGGGTTGGAGGCGGGGGAAGGGTTACGAGGAAGGACCCCCACACGCCTGAGAGTTGGCCCGGGCCCTAGCAGTCTCGTGGCTTCGTGGGCTGGGCTGAGGCGTCCGGGGCGTCCAGCCCCTGACCTCTCCTCCCTCCGGAGGCAGGCCCAGGGGCTCATGGAGTTCCAGGTTGCATTCGGAACGGGGTGTCTGCGTCTGTCCAGGCTCTGAGGGGCTCGTAGGAAACGCTTCCCAACTCCATATCCAAATGTATTTGGGAGGAGACCATAGCGTGGGAAGGACCTTCTGAATGCGGCAGTGTGGAGGAGGCACGAGGGCGTCTGGACTCTGGAGAAAGTCAGTCTTCCTTGCCCCTGCCTCTGAGTGTCCTCGAGAGCTGCAGAGGGGCCTGGAGTACAAGAGCCGGGCCTCAGCCTCGGGGCAGACGGGGGTGGCAGGGCAGAAGGGAGGCCGGCGGGGCCCCCAGTGCGGGATCTGGGGGGCTCCGAGGCACGGCTGAGGGACCAGCGAGGGAGCCCTCCCGAAGCTCGGGCGGGGCGGGAGGAGCCCCTCTCCGTCTCCAGCGGGGCCCCCAGGCTGGAGTGCATGTGGGCATGCTTGGGGCCCTGGTGTGACCCTGGGCTCCATGTTGCTGCCAGCTGTGGCCCCCGCACCTGCGGGGAGCATGGGGAGAGGCCCCGTGCGATTGGCACGACCTCCAGCCCGGGAGCTGGTCTCACCTTTCAGAGAGCTCTCGTGTGTGAATAAGAGATTCCACACTCGGCAGCAGTGTGTGGTTAAAGTTGTCTGCCATATCATTTATTTATTTGGCTTTGGGTCAGACCCAGCGGTGCTCAGGGCTTACTCCTGGCCCTGTGACCAGGGATCATTCTTGGTGGTACTCGGGGGACCCTAGGGATGTTAGGGATTGAACCCGTGTCAGCTGCATGCAGGCAAGCGCTTTACCCGCTGTACCATCGCTCTGGCCCTCCGCCTGCCCTTTTAGAGGGCTGTTCTCCAGCTGAGGAGCAGGGTATTGAATCTTCTCTTTCATCCGTAAGTGACTCCATAGCTCTCTTTGCACCAGGACGCTCAGCTCGGTCAGTTGCAGAGCCTGGGGTGTGAGTCAGAAATTCATCCAGCCCATCTTCTCCGCACAGTGCTCTTCCAAAGGGCGAGGGCCAGCGCCGCAGTCCAGCCTGCCCCCCAAACAGAGTCCTTTTCCCACTTCAGCCACAGATAATCCCTGAGCTTTTTATTTTTTATTAAGGTATGGAAAGCTTTATTAGTTTGGGGGCTTGTTTGTTTTGGAGACAACATCTGACTGTGCTCAGGGCTTACTCCTGGCTCTGTGGATCACCCCTGGTGATCAGGGGACTATCCGGGAGCCCGAGATGGATTCCTGGTCCTGTGTATGCAAGGCCTGTGTCCTAGAGGCCGTGTTAGCTCGCTGGACCCAGAGCTTTGTTATTTATATCATTAGACTTTCTGAGGACAGCGGAGCAGCCTCCCAGGGAAGTTCAAAACTGTTTTGGGTCAGTAGGGAAAGAGTGTGGATACTTCCTCTGTCCAGGTGACGTGGGCCCGCCCCACTGCCTGCATCTCAGTGTGTGTCTGCCTTCCCCCCTGGACGCCTGTACAGCCCCGTGGCCCGTAGCCAGGGGCTAGTCGCCCCCACCTCCTTGGCTCTCAGGCACTGCATGGAAACGAACTCCTGCCTGGTGCTGCCTCTCTGTGTGCATTTTTCCCCTGGATTCCTCTTAGCACCATGTTTTCTAGCTTTGTTATTCCAGCTTTGAAATACCAGCATTTCTTCCTGAGTGGAACTCACCATTACTAAGATGCTGCCTTTGTTTATCCTTTCAAGGACAGATCTGTTTTGCTCTTGAGGGGTGCCTTTGTTCCTTGGGCCTCCTGTGTCAGTGTTCTCTCACGGGTGGCTGAGACGGGGCCTGAGGCTCTCCTGGCTGTACTCTGTCACGGAGGTGTGCTTCTGCGGGCAGTCAGTCCACACTCCGGGAGAATCGGGAGCTGTTCCTGGCTCTGGTGCAGGGGTGGCCCCAGGCAGTACTTGGGGAACCTTAAGTGGAGTCGGAATCCAGCAAGGTCTGCTGAAGCGGCTGTGCACGAGGCACGTGTCTCCCCACCCCGTCGCCCCCTCTGCCACACTGCCCTGTTCCGAA